CTTGAAATGTGCCCTGGGGTGTTTAGAACAGCCTCTTCAGGCAGAAGCCCAACTCCCTTGTGGGACCCCATTTTCTGTTTTCCCTCAGGAAGAATGGAGTATACATTGAGTCCAGGTCATCATTAGCAAAATGAGGTGGGACTTTAAGGCATTATCAGACATTGGAAATCTCAGAACACTGTCGCCTCAATTTTCTAGGCATTTCAGCAAAGGGCTGTTGGTAAATTTTCTGGGTAATTGCTTCAGCTCTCTATTTTACTTTGCAAGTAGAGATGTGGTTTCGTTTCTCATTATCTCCAATTAAGCCAATCAGCTCTGGGGTTTGCTCGGAGTTTAATTTGACACGTTTCCATCAGCTTTTTATGGTCTTGTCACCGTTTTCCAGTTGTGCTGTGCAACCGAGTGACTGTGGTGAAACAAAGAAGGAGCTATTTTCCTAAACAGCTCCATCCATGAAAGACTGTGTTTACCCAATTGGAGAGGCGTTTGTGGTGGGTTTCTTTCATCTCCGCCTCGGGAGGGTCTCCGGCCCTGCCTGCACCCATTCGCTCGGGTCTGTGTGCGCAGGGGCGCTGGTGGCTGCGACCTGGGCAGGGCCATCAGGCGTGGCGTTTGATGGCTTCCAGCTCAGCACAGTTAGTGTTCGCACACGTTACCGCTGGCTCTGGGAAAATCACCCGTGCAGAACTGCTTTCAGTTAAGCGGGTGGTTGGAAAATACTTGAGATTTTTTTCATTGTTTCAAAATCAAAGAATCAACAATATCACACACATATACACATCCACAAAGCATGCCTCTTTTCCTTGCTTTATTCTTCAGTTTGCTGCTGCTTAAACTATGTATGTTATCAAGTACCCTTCTTTAGACAGGGAAAGTAATTCACTTTACACTATTCTTTGAAATTCATTTGTTTTTACTAAGTTAACAGTCAATGTGATAAAGGCAGTTTGGACAGTAGAACAATTAGGGTTTTATGAATGGGTTGAATTTATGACTAAGAAATATTGTTCCTTAAATGTGTTTATTTCTTTTTGAAGCACACACAATTTTAGGATATATTGGCAACTCAGGCAAATGGCAAAAATGGTCATGAATCTTTTAGAAAATGAAAGAAAGAGATAGTAGCCCAATATCACTTTTGCAGTATCTTTCAACCCTAGACAGGTTGAAATACCTGCTTCCAAGGCCATTTCGCAAACTATCTGAAACGGTTCTGCTCCTCTGACTCATTGTGGAGTTTTGTGCTTGGGGTGACATGCAAGTTGAAAGAATTTGTGGCCAACAAAAGCCCAGCTCCCCCTTTCTGCCTGTGTATGTCAAAGACACAGTTGGTGGTTGTGTTTGGGTCATGTGTCCCCTGTATAAAAACAGCTAATTAGGAAAAAGAGCCCTCTGTTCCCTGGCCCCACCCCCAGCCCAGGGGCCAGCTCCATCTATCTGATAACCCCACACGCTCCTGTCCTCCTGTCGCTGTGAATGTGCGGGGTTGTGTGTCAGGTAGCTGGCTGCCTGTCTCAGGGATCGTGTGGAATCTAACAGTGATTCCACGGGGGACTCTATCACCTCTTCCCAGAACAGCCTCTTTCTAAGGTAGTTGACTCCTTTCTTCTCTTTAATTCCTCCTCACTCTTTTCTCCCTAATTCCTTTTCACTGAAAAAGCCTATGCTGTGAACTAAAGTAGCCAGACTTTCTTTGCAGCAATCAGCGGTTTCTAGCCAAGTTAGTCGCACAGGAAGGCTAGCAGGCAATGAGCTTTGAGTTGTTGCAGAGCTGAGGAAAATAGAGTTTTTATTTCAAAAACCAACCAACCATATTTTCAGTTGCCTGCTCTGACCTCAGTTCTTAGGTTACCTGGGTCTCAGTCGGCACAGGTGCCTTTGCCCGTTCACTCTGGGCTTTCACCAGCTGCCCCTGGTGTCACGGGAACATCGGGAAGGCCACACGAGTGCCAGAAGTACTCGGCACAACACGGCTTGAAATCAGCCTGGGTTTGATGGCTAAGGGAGCAGCATCGCATCTCATCCCCCACGTTTTTGAGTTTTTACACACTTGTTTTCTGCCTCGCTTCAAAGTTCACTCACTCGGCGGGCGGGCAGGGCCGGGAGGCCACATGGGAGTGGTTCTGTTAGGGATGGGCCGCCAGACCAGCAGCCACGCCAAGCCTTCCAGATGGCTGTGCTGTGCATGGAAGTCCTGGCCTGGCTCTCTTCCCCAGAACCTGCTAAATTGCAGAATCTTGATGTTAGAGGTGTCACTCAGGCCTCTGCCGAGCACTAGGAGGCAGGAATCGCTTCCCCTGTATGCAGGAGAGGAAGCAGGGATCCAGAGACAGGAGGGAACTTGCCCACGGGCACACAGCCGGTGAGTGGAGCTCCCCCTGGCATCTCTTGCTCTGATGGATCTTGTGTTCTCTCTGCTAAGCCACACTGCCACTGCCTCTTCTAACTTTCTCCAGTGAAATACTAACAATAAAAACAGAGTTACACTTATTGAGGGCCTCGTGTACATGACCCCTAATATTGGGTGCTTTCTGACTTAATTCTCACAACCACCTGCGAGGTCCCTTATTCCTGCCCTCGACGTGACAGATGAGGAACCTGAAGTAGAAGATGCAGCAAAGGCAAGACAGTGATAATCATGGTAACAAGTGCTTGGGAAGCACATACTACCCCTGACGCTCATGTTAACTCTGCACAGCAGATGATAATGGGTACCTTTCTACAGAGGGGGAAAGAGAGCTCGCAGGCTTTCTTGCCCAAGATTAATATGGTGGGGCTCTGTTTCACAGTCAGATCTGCCTGACCACAAAACACACGCTCGTCCAGTGACCACAGTTAAGACAAATACCCTGGGCTCAAATGCATATACAAAAAGACCAAACAAATTTATTTAATCCTCATTAATGGTTTTTTAAAGCAATGAGAAAAAAGAACAATAATTAGACTATCATGAGTCTTAAGAGGTACAGAAGACAATGGAATAATATCTTTTAAGTATTGAGAACAAAGAACTGTCAACCATTATTCAAGAGTGAAGGCAAAGTAGGGACATACTCAGTTATACAAAGACTGAGAGACTTTGGCACCCATAGAACATCACTTAAAAAAAACCCAACCGTGATAAAAGGATGCATTTCAGTAAGAAGAAAAAAAAAGCTATGGTGAAGGTCTGGAGTACAACAAAGTTCCAGTTATTTTTGCTGTGTAACAAATTACCCCAAAGCTAAGTAGCTTAAAGCAATCATTTTATTATGCGTATGGGTTCTGTGGGTCAGGAATCTGGGCAGGACACAGCAAGGATGGCTCTTCTCTGCTTTGAGATGTCTGGGACCTTAAATGGGAAGGCCCAAAGCTAGTGGTGAGTCAACAGCTGGAGGCATCTTCCCTCAGGTGTCTGGTGCCTGGGCTGGGATGACTTGTGGGCCAGGACTGCAGACCGAGGTGCCTGCAGTGGCCCTTCCATGCGGCTTGGTTTCCTCACAGCATGGTAGCTTCTGAACAGTTCAGCTTCTCACATGGTGAGCTCGGGGCTACAGGTATGAGTGTTCTAAGGAGGAAGGCACATTGCCTTTTATGACCCAATCTCACCAATTAAACAGAGTCACTTCCTCCACACCTTGCTGTCCAAAATAGTCACAAGCCTACTGAGACTGAAGGGGTGTGTAGACCCCAAATTCTCCCTGTCAAAGAATTTGAGGGCCCATTTTAAGATGAGAAAAACTTTAAAATATATAAATAAATTCAATTAGCTATTGCTTCTAATTTGAAAACGAATTTTTGTATGTTTATAAAAGGTAAAACCAAATTCTAGGAAACAATAGATCATGGGGTGGTGGGAAGAGAAGCTTCAAGGATAGTTAAAGCATGCTAAGTTCTTGGACTATTAAATACAGCCAGGTGGTGAGTACACCAGTGTTATTTTTTTAAGTATTTTGTATTGATTTTTTAGAGAGAGAGGAAGGGAGAGAGATAGGGTACTCCTAAGGCTTAGGAAGAGCCACACTCAAGGGGCCAAAGAGTCGCATGTGGCTCTCGAGCCACAGTTTGCCGACCACTGGACTAGCTAAACCAAACAGGCAAATCCCTACTGGATTACTGATGGGAGACTCATTTCCTTACCTGTAACAGAGGATAATACCACCCATCTCACAGTTTGTTGTAAGGCAGAGACCTGTGTTAATTAAGTACTTAGCATAGTCTCAGCAGAGTAAGCACTCAATATAAGGTAAATGTGAAGATGACGATGGCAGCAGTGATGACAATGATAATGGTGGTGGTGACGACAACAGAATCACAAGAAAAATAAAGCCAGAGAGTCCCAGAAGGCCTCTAAATAAGTAAACTAGACCTTCTGGATGGTCTAATAATCGAATTGACAAGAGACAGATTAAGAGGAGAAAATAACAAAATGTAATTATGTATATACAAACAGGGTTCCATACGAATATGGGACACAAGGACAAATCAGGAGAAAGGAGGCTGTGGTTTGGAACTTCAAAGGGCTGGAAGGCAATTCATATGGAGTTGAAAAAGCAAATGTTTGGGAAAGAAGTATTTGCTGGGCCATCTTTAACAAGGGGTCCCAGACTTATTTCATTTTGCATAATACCCTCCAGGTCCATCCTTATGTTGCAAATAGTAAGATTTCATTTTTTTTATGGCTGAGTATATGTACCACAACTTTTTAATCCACTGGTCTATTGGTGTGGAATCTAAATAACAAAATACATGAACAAACAAAACAGAAACTTATAGATACAAAGAACAGACTGATGGTTGCCAGAGGGAAGGGAGGTTGGGGAGACTGGGTAAAAAGGTGAAGTAAGAAATACAAATTGGTAGTTAAAAAACAGTCATGGGGATGTAAAGTTCAGCCTAGGGAATATAGTAAATAATATTGTAATAACTAACTCTGGTTCCAGGTGGTACTTGAATTACCAGAGGGATCACTTTGTAAATTATATATGACTAGAGGCACAGTGCACAAAATTTGTGCACTCGGGGAGGGGAGGTCCCTCAGCCCAGATTGTGAGAGGGCACAGGCCAGGCTGAGGGACCCCACCCGTGCATGATTGGGCCGGGGAGGGACATGGGAGATTGGCCAGCAGGAGGGCTCCAGGGCGTGTCTGGCCTGTCTGGCTCAGTCCTGTTCCGCCAGACCCCAGCAGCAAGCTAACCTACCAGTCAGAGTGTCTGCCTCCTGGTGGTCCGTGCACATCATAGCAAGCAGTTGAGCAGCCTTAGCATATCATTAGCATATTATGCTTTGATTGGTTGAACAGCCGACCAGACACTTAGCATATTAGGCTTTTATTATATAGGATTGTCTATCCACTATGCTGTACACCTGAAACTAATATAAAATAATAGTGAATGTCAACTATAATTGAAAAATAAAATTTTAGCCCTAGCTGGTTTGGCTCAGTGGATAGAGCATCAGCCTGCAGACCAAAAGGTCCCGGCTCCTCAGGCCCTGGCCCTGGTCGGAGGCAACCAATCACTGTGTTTCTCTCACATCAATGTTTCTCTCTGTCTTTCCCTCTCTCTTCCATTCTCCCTAAAAATCAATGGAAAAATATCCTCAGGTGAGGATTAACAAAAATTAAAATAAAAAAATAAAATAAATAAATTTGTTTTAAATTGGGGGGACAAAACCATCAACTACAATGGGACACAGAAAGGACTTTGATCAAATGGGCCTTGCCAGGTTCCTTTTTGTCTATCACAAACTAGTTCATTTTAAACTATAGTTGTCTATGATGATACCTCCCTTCCTGGAGGTCCTCTTTCTAAGTTCTTTTAGGCAGTTGGAGAAAGGTCAAAGGTTCTTAGATTGAGCAAGGAAAAGATTGCATTGCCACAAAGTGTAAACGCCACTTACCTATGCTGCGCAGGAGATTAGGCTGAGGATACAGCGAACAAGAGCAATCTCTGAGCCCTGGCTGGTTTGGCTCAGGGGATAGAGCATCAGCCTCGGACTGAAGGGTCCTGGTTTGATTCGGGTCAAGGGCACATGCTTGGGTTGCAGGCTTGATCCCCAGTAGGGGGTGTACAGGAGGCAGCCGATCAGTAATTCTCATCATTGATGTTTCTATCTCTCCCTCTTCCTTCCCCTCTGAAATCAATAAAAATATATATATATATTTTTTTTTTTAAAAAAGAGCAACCTCTGACATGAGATCATCGCTGAGTGGAGACTGAGAGTCAGAACAGATCTTCTGAGCACAGTGTAACCTGTGCTGTTAACCAGTCTGAGGGGCAGCTGTGTGCTGACACGACTCACCCTTCTGTCTGGGTCTTCTCTCACCAGGGTCTTTTCACCTAATTCACTTGATGTTTGATGACTACGTGCTCTACCTGTTAGAATCCCTGCACTGTCAGGAGCGGGCCAATGAGCTTATGCGGGCCATGAAGGGAGAAGGAAGCACTGGTAAGCCAGCACTGCCCTGGACATTGCCCTACTTGGCAGTTTGATTTGTGTCCTTACTTCTGTGCTCTGTGGTTCTTTATTTAGCTCTGTACCCCCGAGAATGTAGTTATGGCGAGTAGGTCATGTGGCATGAAACTGATCACGTCTTTTTCTTTAGAATGGGCATGTTGTATATGGACATTGCCTTGGGTGCCATGATGGTGATGGGAAACCAATGAAGGGCTTTAAGCAGAGGAGTGACATGACAGAGCAGAAAGACTGTCATTTTTTAAAGCCCCTTAAAGACAACTCGCCTTGACCTTTGGCTGTAAGAACCCACCCTTTTCTCTACTCGTAGCAGAAGTCCAAGAAGAGATTATCTTGACAGATGCTGCCCCACCAACCCCTTCACCAGTGCCGTCGTTTTCTCCAGCAAAATCGTCCACGTCTGTGGAAGTGCCACCTCCATCCTCCCCTGTCAGCAACCCATCCCCTGAGTACACTGGCCTCAGCACCACAGGTAATGAAAGGTCCCCCAAGGCTCTAAGTGGGGAGTTGACGTTTAAAGCAAGAGCTTTCTGGATAAACATTCATCCCTCTAGCACCACTCCCCAACAAGGCCAAAACCTGAGTATTTTCCTGGATTTATAGATAACTTGCAGTTATTTATTTGTACATATTCTTTAGGCTTCTGTTTTCAAGTTGGCAGATAAAGTACATGAGAGAATTTCCACCCTTCCAAAAGCTAAGCCACTAAAATGATGAAAATTATATAAAACATAAATTAATACACAATACACAGACATTCTTGAAAACAAGAACCACAAACAGAGGCAGCTCTGGAAAGGGGTCAGACGGAAAGCCATCTACTAAGCATGACCACCATATTCAAGACAAGGGAATGACGAGGTGCAAACTGGTGCTGTGGGGTCCCTAGGGAAGGGGAGGTTCTGGTCAGAGGTATCAAGGAAGACCTCACAAAGGAGGAGGATTTGAGCTGGAACTTGACTTTGACCAAGGTCTGCAGAGGCCAGTGTGAGCACACACACAGGTAGGGAAGTGTGGGCCTTTTCAGACTGGTAAGCTCTAGCTGAAGTGTCATAGGTCCCTGCAGGAGTCACATACGGCTGGGAAGGTAAGCTGGAGACACATCCTGGAGGATCTCAAATGCCAAGACAAGGTTTTGAAATGGAAAAGTGATGTTACAGGGATAATAGTAGATACTCGCTAATGTCCAAATGTTGCTTTACAACATACAAAGGACCTTTGCATAACTATATCACTTGATATTCACAATAACACTGCAAGATAGCTAATTGTTCCATTTTATGGAGGAAAACTAGAGGGCGAGGAAGGTTAAATTCCTTGTCCTGGGTACCATAGTCAGTAGTAGACATCAATGAATTCATTCAAATTCATTCACTTAATTCAACAAATGTTCACTAATATCTATACTAGAGGGCCGGTGCACGACATTCGTGCACTGGAGGGGTGTGAGGTCCCTCAGCCTGGCCTGTGCCCTCTTGCAGCCCAAGCCCCCTCGGGCAGTTGGACATCCCCCAAGAGCTCCCAAGAGGGCGCAGGCCGGGCTGAGGTACACCCCCCCTCCCCCCCAGTGCACAATTTTTGTGCACCGGGCCTCTAGTATAATAATAATGAAGAGAGAATGTGTGTATGTCTGCCTCCACATTATCTCACGTGGTTGTGAGGTAAAAAAGGCCCAAGTGCGTTGTTAATAGTGATGTGCTATCCAGATAGAAGGGGTTGCTCTTATTCAGGCCTGTAAGATGAGGGCTGCCGCTGAGAATGCTGCAGGAGTTTAGAGGGAGAAGCCATCTGTTTCCTTCCCGTCTGAATGCTGGCAGACAGGGGGAGAGGTGAGACTCGAAGGCAGCCTTGGAAGACGCGAAGGGCTCAGCTAAGAAGAGAGAAGTGGGTTCACAGGAACAGAGGCAGGGACGATCCTCCACTAGATGAGCCCTGGATGGACGGACTGGTCTTTGTGGAGTGGAGGACTCGCTATGACTGTGATAATTAATTCATTATCCTTCCATCCCAACATGCTCTACTATTCCCCCAATTACCCAAGTCATCTTCAAATCTCTCCTCTCCCTAAACTCCTGTATTAGGATCGGCTAAGCCAGTGTAACAGACAGATCCAGACATGGATGGTGCTAACACAATAAACATGTGGTTCATGCTTGCAGACAGTGCTGGCAAGGTGTTTAGGTCGGAGAGGAGGCACAGTGCTCCTTCAGTATTTGCCTCTACCATAGCCCTGGGCAGTGGTTCTCAAAGTGTGGTCCATGGACCAGCAATATCAGCATCTCCTGGGAACTTGTTAGAAATGCTCATTAATAGGTCCCATTGCACCTACTGAATTAGAAACTCTAGGGGTGGGACCTAGTGATTTGCACAACAGCCTCCAAGTGATTCTGATGCTCAGTGTTTTGAGGACCTCTGCCTTAGGGCTTTGTCAAGCCCTGACCTGAAGGTGGCACGTGGCACTTCACTTTGTCCCAATTGTGTCCCAGTTAATTATCTGCCTAGATTTAGTGGGACATACGCAGGTGACCAGAGGTCAGCAATAACGGCCTATCCCCTGGTACTTCAATGTCTAGACAGTTGAGCCGAACCGGAACATATGAACACACAAGACAGAATTAGTATTCAATTACACAAGGTTTATTTACCTATTCCTAGTGGGTCCTAGGCTCCAGCAAAGGCCACCCGGCGATGCACACTGAAAGACGGACGACAAAGACTGGACAGGCAGGCGGCCACAGTTGGTTCAGGCTCACACAGCAGAGCATTCAGTCAGGGGCTCGTCTCATGGAGCGATGTGGAGTCCTCCTCTCATCAGGCAGGAGACATCGACTGAAGAAGATCTGGTGCTTATATAGCCGGTGGTAAACAACTTGTGCCTTATCGGTGTGGGCCAGACAGTGTACCTTATGCTAGGAGCAGGGTGTTTACACTTTAAGGGCTTAGGGCGTTCACATCAAGATAGTGGGGTGTTCACCAATTTGGAAGTTACAGAGTATTGGGGTCTTCACACAGCAAACGTTTCACACAGTAATCATTTCACACGTTAGAGGGGTTTTTTTATGACCATAACATTATTATAACGCACTATATTCCATCACCCAGGACCTGGACACATGGCCTCATGTAACTGCAAAGAGAGGCTGGGAAATGTGTGTCCCCAGGTAGGGAAGGGGGGATGCACAGGGGAGACACTGGCATTCACCACCACACCTCTCAAGTCCAGTTGTCTCAGTACTGACCTGGACTGACCCATTCCTCCCATCCCACTACTGCCGTCTGGTTTAGGCTGTCCCCACCTCTCATGGACTCCACAGTGACTCTCAAGCTGGTCATCTGCCTCCGGACTCTAGTCTGTCTGCTCCCACACTGCCTGCCGGGCTTATTTTCCTGAAGTTATGCCTCCTCAAAGTGCTGGGGCCCCAAGTTCACTGCCTCCCACCAAACCCTAAAGCTCTCATTCTCCATATCACTTGTCACACCTCCTCCTCCAGAACCATGCTTCCATCCTGTGGGAGAAAACCCTACTCATCCTTGACGTTTCCATCACCCTCCGGGTCAGAATCTTCCTCCAGATCCTCACAGCATGGGCTTAGTTATATCCTAGTGCTGCTTAGAGTAGAATTGCTTTCAGAATAGACTAGGAACCCAATGCTATTTTGTGAAAACTAAATAGAGTAACAGTGCTCTATTTAGGACGTTGTCTCTTATCCATTCATTTGCTCACATATCTATCCATTTATCCAATAAATATTTCTCTAGTGGCTTCTGTATACTAAACAGTTCAGAGAGCTGCCTATGCGAACAAGAGAATCATAGTCCCTGCCCTCTGGGAGTTGAATGTGTAAAGGTTAGGGCTCTGATGAGTTACAATGCAAAGTGATGATGCTAAGTTGGGAGAAGGGTCAAGGTATTAGGGGAGCTTAGAAGGGGGCCTCCAACCTGTATTTGGAGGGTCTGGGAAGGCTGAACAATGAGAGAGAAGGTGTTGCAGGCAGAGGAAGTAGGTAGTACAAAGGCCTGGAGGCATGACAAAGGAGCATGCCATTGTCAGGGAACTAGGTATATATGCCAGCAGTCTTTTGGTTAATTCCTTCCCCAAAGTTTTCTGTCTCCAGAACTGGAGCTACTCAGAGAGGAAGCGAGCAGATGCTGAGGAGCCGTAAGGTTCCTGCCTCCTCTGCACTCTGCCAGGGGCAGAAACTTGCCAACAAACTCAGTGGCCCTTTGTCAGGACCTGCTAAGGAGCCTGGATTCTTCAGAGCAGTGGTTCTCAACCTTCCTAATGCCGCGACCCTTTAATGCAGTTCCTCATGTTGTGGTGACCCCCAATTTTATTGTTACAGATTGAACATAATTAAAGCATAGTGATTAATCACAAAAACAATATGTAATTATATATGTGTTTTCCGATGGTCTTAGGCGACCCCTGTGAAAGGGTCGTTCGACCCCCCAAAGGGGTCGCGACCCACAGGTTGAGAACCACTGCTTCAGAGTATGGAACAGTAGGGCTGTCGGTAACTAGTATGAGATGGAGTTCTGATTTCATTTTGGGTACACAGCCAGAGAGGGCTCTCCTCTTCTGTGGAACGTTTGATTTTCCTTACACAGATGCACCTCAAATCATGTTTTGTTTCCTACTTTGAAGAGAAAGAACATGAGGCACCCCCCTCCTGCCCACCCCTTTCTCTCCGCAGTGAGTTGTTGCGGTTCCTGCTTGGAGGGCTCAGGAAGAGGAATTAATTATAGCGAACAGATTTGTTCACTGAATATAAACAAGGGACGGGAACTGAAGCACGATCACAGCTCTTCAGCTGCTGGGGGCGGGGCGGGGCGGGGCGAGGGGGCGGGCATCTTCCCAGACTGGAGTTATGGGGCAGCCACCCAAGTCCCTGGCCTCACTCGGAGAGGAACCAGGGCAGTAAGAACAGCCAGGAGCCAGTGACCTGAGTCATCCTGCCTCAGACCCTGCCCCCACCTGGAGAGACACACACGCAAGTCAGTCAGTGATAACATCCTTACTAAGAAAATAAACAGGGAAATTATGCAAATAAAACAGTTCTGCATTATGAAGCAGAAACAATTTGAGTGCTACCTGTCTTGCGTGTAGCAACCTAACAAACAGAGCGTCTATGGAAACGGGCGCAGGAGTGTGGAGGGAGGCTTCTGGGGTCTCTTCCAAACTCTCATCCAGCCAGAGTCGGCCTGGCTTTCTTCTCAGCAATTTGGAGGCCGCGAGTAGGCAGGTGTGATAGAGCCACAGCTATACCATAAACGTGTTCAGAGGTTTCGGAGCAATGTGTTCAAGAGTCATAAAAGTAGCTTCTTAGAAATACAAATGTGAACCAGGTTCTCTTCAGATGACTGTAACCTTTGAAGATTTTGGCACATTCCAGCTTTGTTCTCAGATATCTCCAGGGGGCATTAAAAATGTCATCCTACATAAAACCAGGTATAATATTTTTGTCAAGTACCACTTTTGAAATACTCCATCCATAAATTAGACTGGATCTTGGCATGTATTTGTGGGTCGTGGTTTTGGAGGAAACATAAATATAATTTCCTAACAACATGTATGGTTTTGTAGATATTACATTATAAAGCACAAATTATTTAGTGATGATATATACCAAAATAATAAAAAATGTATTATGGTGGGCTTCCTAAATTGGGGGATTTGTGTAATTTTTCATTAGGCAACACTGTAAATTGGGAAGCAATTATACATCTTATAAAATGCATTTGCCATGTATCTTTTCTAAAAGGTTAACTCAGCATATGGTTTTCGTGCCCAGTTAATTTTTATTTCCATCTTTAAATTATTGCTTGTTTATATACCATTGCTTTCCAAAAAGGATCTGAAGTGGTTAACAAAAAAAAAAAAAAATGAAGCAAAACATAACTTTTTGAAAAGGGCCCAAACCAGAAAGCAGGAAATAAAGAAGTGGGTAAAACAAAATAAAACCCTTCGCTAAAACAGTTTATTAACACCTTATGTGAGATTATATGTGACCTCATGATTTGGTTGGGTATCTAGCCCACTCTGAATGACAGTGCTCGGGGGATGGACATATCAAGTCTGACTTACTGACAGTCAAGGCCAGCCAGGTGTCCGTGATTCTTCCACAAATCAGTGCCTCACTTTTGATGGACACGTCATTTCTCAGCTATGAGGAGGAGAACTGAATTATGTCTGCTTGGTTTAGCACAAAGAAAAAATCAATTCATTGCACAAAACCCTTTGGCATCTTTTTTAAATCCTCACCCGAGGATATGTATGTATGTATGTATGTGTTTATTTTAGAGGGGGAGGGGGAGGGGGGGGGAGAGAGAGAGAGAGAAACTTTCAATGTGAGAGAGAAACATCCATCGATCAGGGGATTGAACCCGCAACCTAGGTATGTGCCTTAACTGGGAATCAAACCCGCAGCCTTTTGGTGCATGGGATGACCCTCCAACCAGCGGAGCCACCCGGCCAGGGCCCCTTTGTATCTTTTTTATACAAGGATTAGTGAATACAAAGCAGTAGAGATAAGGAGTTATGACGCACTAGGAATACAGCCACTCGGCTTATCTATATCTAGGTCTGTGTCCACACCCGTATACATGTATTTCTAAGTGTGCTTTCTTAAGACTGTATTTAGTAATTGCTTTTAAAAGGGAGAAAAATGAAAGGAAAGGAATATCAGGCACCAAAAATTGAACCTGAGGCATAGCCAATTTTGATTGGGCATGTTCAAGTCTATGGCAACGCTGTGGTAAAGAATGGTTCAATGTTCCACTTCAGCAGATTTCCACAAGCAGATATCTGTGATTCCCATGCATCCTTTTTTCCCCTCCTAACCTTGTGAGCTTGCCACCTCCCTTATGGCCCAGCAAAGTTCAGAAACGATAACTCTCTTTAAGGAAAACGGGCTCTCTTCCTCCTCGGGAGTGTGGCAGGTGGTACCAAACTGCCCTGCCCACTTAACATGGCATTGGGCTGCAATTCTTTAATGCCACTTAAAGCAAAACGTGAAGCTCCCACTCTGTCCGGGTCAGGCCACCAAAGGGTTCTAAGACCTTGTTTATGATGTCATTTTAAGTATTCCCTCCTTCAACAATGACAATAAAAGTTAACTATTAAACTCAAGTTTTCTCCTTCCCACCATGGGTTCCCTACAACACAAAACCAGCAAATTAAATCACTGAGATGTTAGGATGCCTAAAGAAATAAAGCAAATTCCTCATAAATGGCCCTAACTGTAGAACATCTGGCCTGCCCAGCTGCGTTTTCTCTACTTCAGTGGAGGGTCTAACAAAGATAACTGGCCCCTAGTCTTTCCAAATAACAAAAGCTCAGTTATTCTGAGGGCAGCTACACTGAGTGGGGTATGCTGGACACTGTGGCCCTGCCTCTCCGCCCGCGATGACTCATCGCAGAACTTCCTCCTCCTCCATCCATGCTGCCTCCTTTAAAGGAATGAAATAAGGAAATGTAAGCTGGGATTGAAAATAGGTGGTTAATCTGCTCTTGACTTCACAGCATCAGGGTCTTGGCTTGGTGTTGGGATCTTTGGATTTGCTCATCCATTCATTTGTTTGTTGCCTGTATTTCGTGTCTAATCTGTGCCGTGACCTGGGGGTCCGGAATGGTCGCTGTTCTCATGATACTTATATTCTAGTGCAGGGTGGGGATCATCTGGCTGCAGGTTGTATAAGGCCCAGGTTGCAAAATCATTTGGGCTGGCCCTGCCAAGGCAACCGCAGGTGGGAC